GAATGTTAGTGTACACTTTTTCATTAAAAGCATATTTAGACAAGCAGACCAGCCTGGAGCAGCTAGAATAACAGAAGATACAGCTTCAAAGAAAGTTCAGCAGGAAAACCAAAACAAAATAAAACAAAAAAATTTGCCATATAATTGGCTACTACAAGAGCAAGCAAGTTGTTTGCTGGGGAGCCATCAAGGCAAGCAATCAAGTCCCTTCAGAATAAACCACCCCTCCAAGACTGACTTAAAGGGAATGCATGAGCAAGCATGAAAGCTTGCTGGTGACCATATTTGTCTGCTGGTGAGTGGAAGAAGGGGAAGCATAGCAATGAAGAAATGGACTGAGTTCAACCACATTCCATAGACTCCTGTTGAGCTGGAGATGAGAGAAGAGGAAGGTCTGGTTGGTTTGAAATGTGGTGAGACCTGGGGACTCCTGATCCCATGGACAAGGACATAGCCATGGAGGGTAAGAGCTGAGAGTGAAGCATCCAGCTGATATGAAGTGAGGGGAAACGCACAAGAATACCCAAAGTTGAGGATAGTACCCATTTGACCTAGCCCTGATGGCTTAATAATCAGAACTAAACTGTTGTTAAGTGCCATTGAGTCAGTTCCGACTCATAGCGACCTTATGCACAGCAGAACGAAATACTGCCCAATCCTGGGCCAACCTCACTATTGTTGCCATGCTTGAGTCCATCAATGCTGCCTCTTGGCCAATCAATCTCGTTGGGGGTCTTCCTCTTTTCCTCTGATCCTCCACCTTACCAAGCATGATATATTTCTCCAGCGACTGGTTCCTACTGACAATATGTCTGAAGTATGAGATATGAAGTTTTGCCATCCTGGCCTCCAAGGAGCACTCTGGCTGCACTTCTTCCAAAACGGATCTATTAGTTGTTTTGGCAGCCCATGGCATTTTCAATATTCTCCTCCAACACCACAACTCAAAAACATCAATTCTATGGGCTTCCTTATTCACTGTCCAGCTTTCACATGCATATGAGGTTATTGAAAATACCATGACTTGGGTCAGGTGCACCTTAAGCTGACATCTTTGCTCTTCAACACTTTAAAAAGGTCTTGTGCAGAAGATTTGCCTAATACAATACGTCGTTTGATTTCTTGACTGCAGCTTCCGTGAATGTTGATAGTTGATCCAAGAAGAATGAAGTCCTTGACAATTTCAATCTTTTCTCCTTTGATAAGAATGTTGTTTACTTGTCCAGTGGTGAGGAGTTTTGTTTTCTTTACATTGAGATGTAATCCATACTGAAAGGCTGTGCTCTTTGATCTTCATCAGTAAATGTTTTAAGTCCTCTTCACTTTCAGCAAGCAAGGTTGTATCATATGCATATCACAGGTTGTTAATGAGACTTCCTCCAGTTCTAATGGCACATTTTTCTTCATATAACTCAGCTTCTCAGATTATTTGCTCAGCATACAGGTTGAATAAGTATGGTGAAAGAATACAACCTTGACGCAGCATACACACGGGTCTCACCAGATGGAATACATAGAAATCAAATTAACTACGTCTGAGGAAAGAGACAATGGAAAAGCTCCATGTCATCAGTCAAAACAAGGCCAGGGGCAGATTGTGGAACAGACAATCAATTACTCATATGCAAATTCAAACTGAAGCTGAAGAAAATGAAAACAGGTCCACGAGAGCCAAAATATGACCTTGAATATATCCCACCTGAATTTAGAGATAACCTGAAGAACAGATTTGATACATTAAACACTAAAGACCAAAGACCAGAAGAGTTGTGGGATTACATCAAGAACATCATACATGAAAAAAGCAAAAAGTCATTAAGAAGACAAGAATGAAGGAAAAGTTCAAAATGGATGTCAGAAGAGACACTGAAAGTTACTTCCAGCATAGAGATGCTAAAGCAATTGGAAGAAATGAGGAGAACTCAAGTAGAGGAAGATTTTTAAAAAATTGATAAAGAAAACAGTGTAAATTGCTACAATTTGATAAACTTGACCTATACTTATGGCTGTAGTAGCTCAAAATATCAAATGAGAGGGAAGGAGTCTTCACATCAAGTATCAATCCTATCCCCACTACAAAAAAGGTAGATAGGGGATGGGCAACATAGACATTGGCTACCTAAATTGAGAGGGCAATAAAGGCAGGAAGTGACTGGCTTACAAGTTTTCAAGCGGCAGTTTAGTTTCAGAGAGTGCAGGAGAATGTAGAGTCCCCACTGAATAGTTTTCATTTTGTCATCAATAGTTTTCATAGAGTCTGGTGAAAATGGATAGGGATAAGATTCCTATGATTCAATAGTGAGTACATGTCATCATGACTAATTGCAAGTGTCACAACTGTAAAGGTAGAAGCTTTGTAATAAAAACGGGGGAGTAGTTAAGCTTACAGTCCAGAAACAGAGGACTTTAGGACCATCAAGGAAGAAGAGCATTGGTGGAATGCGAGATCCTATCCAGAGAAGCAGCGACACCAGAGATGTAGGCAGAGATGTAGGCATGGAGACAGGGGGCAGCTGAGGACTCTGAACTCATGGAAAGAGAAGAACTGGGTGCTGACAGCCAGGAGGCAGGTTTGCAGAATTTGCCCTTTGGTTGTTTAAATGATTATATTTTCATGAATGTTTTTGTGTATCTCCCCCCAAAAATAAAACCCAAAATACCAGAGGGAATGGAAGCAAATACTGTTGAATGATGATACATTGAGGAGATTGTAATCATTGCAATGAAACAATGGTTGGTGTAAAGCCGATGTTCTTCCATGTAAACTATCACTCAGTTCACACACACACACACACACACACACACACACACACACACACACAAAATTAAAAAAGCATTAGGTCGACAACAAACAAAAGCATATTTTGTATCTCCCAAACTCACCCATGGAATTACTGAGTGGTATAAAGATTAAAGCACTCAACTACGAGTCAAAATGATGGTGGGATGAACCCACCAAGAGGCACCTGGTAAGACAGGTGTGGCTATGTGCTTTTGAAGGATAGCAGCCTTGACAACCTTATGAAACAAGTCTAGTCTTAACCCTGGATTTGTCTAGTCTTAACCCTTAAACAAGTCTAGTCTTAACCCTGGATTTGTCATGAGTTGGAATCAACTCAAAAACAGCTCACAGCAACAATGAGCCAAGACTATAAATCATTCCTTCATAGCTTTTTGGATACATACATGTGTGTGTATTTGCATGTGTAACTACACACAATTTGGTTTTGACAGTTTATCAGAACATGGGGAACATTTTTTCTTTTAATTGGCACTTTTGCTATGTTATCTTAATTTAATTTATTTAGGATTTACAGACCAAAGTACTGGATTTTCCAGGACAGTTTCAATTTCTAAATTTATATTAGTATAAGACTATGTTTCTTAAACTTTTTATATGTAGTCAGTTTGGTCTTAGGATATTTGTAACAGTTATAGACCATTTAGAAGAATTTAAAAGGAAAAAAAGTCTGTAATTTCTTAAATATACAAATAAAAGTTATCAAAAATTATTTTTAAGTTTTTAAACCATGTAATCTATGTGCAAAACCCTCTTGATATTTTTATGCATTTCAGTTAGCATGGTACTTGAGAAAATTCTTTTGGAGATCAAGGTCTTGGTATATTTGGTGAAACTATTTTTTATATCTCTACATCTAATTTAAGGCGCTCTGGTAGCGTAGTGGTTATGAATCGGGCTGCGAACTGCAAGGTCAGCAGTTCGAAACTACCAGCTGTTCCGCGAGAGAAAGATGAGGCATTCTGCTCCTGTAAAGATTTACAGCCTCGGAAACCCTGTACAGGGTCGCTATGAGTTGGAACCGACTCCACGGCACATAACAACAACAACAACAACATCTAATTTGGAGTCCTGATGTGGCACTGTAGGATAAGCACTGGACTGCTAACTGCAAGATTGGTGGTTCAAAACCACCAGCTGCTTCTTAGAAACTCTATACAGGGTCACTATGAGCCAGAATGGACTTGATGGTACTTAACAACAACAACAACATCCATCTTAACAACAATAATCATTTATGTATAAATTGTGTCATTTGTTGTGATATACTTTCTTGTTCTGGTGTACTGCTGTAGGATATGCACTGGAGTGCTAACTGTAAGGTCAGTGGATCAAACCTACTAACTGGTCCTAGAAAACCCTATATAAGATTTCTATGAATCGGAATTGACTTAAAGGCACTTAACAACACAACAGCAACATACTTGATTGACAAACTTACCTGCCATTTATTTTAGTATGAAGAAAGCTCACTTTGATTAGCAGTAACAACTTTACATTATTTGAAGGTTGTATGTGCATGATTCTTAGTATCTAATATTGTTGTTGTTAAATGCCGTCAAGTTGGTTCCGACCCACAGCAGCCCTATATAGGGTTTCTGAGGAGCGACTGGTGAGTTTGAACCACCAACCTTGCAGTTCAAACCGACCTTGTAGTTCAAATCAAGCACTTACGTTACAGTGTCACACCACGATTTCTGTTGCTCTGGTAGCGTAATGGTTACGAACCCGGCTGCGGACCGCAAAGTCAGCAGTTTGAAACTATTCCGCAGGAGAAAGATGAGGCTTTCTGCTTCCGTAAAGATTTACAGCCTCGGAAACCCTGTACAGAGTGGGAACCGACTCCACAGCACATAACCACCAATAGCAAAATAGAAGTTGTTACCATTTGGTTCAAGTTAATGAATTTTAATTACCCAGCAATTTTGTCACATGAAAATGATTTTTAAGCTAAAATTTCTGAATTTCACCAATAGAATATAATTAGCATTTTGAGGTACCATTTCAGTCATCTAAGAATGATTCCATTATCTGCATTTTGTTTTACCCTAATTCATGCATCTAGACTGCACTCCAGATTGGCTAGGTTTTATGCCTGAGTATTGAATTCAGACAGCATATCTCTATGAAAAAAACCTCCTAAAGACAAGAAATAGCTCTAATCAAAATTAAGTTTATATTGGCAAATTTTGTCATTTAGAAAAGCTACTGGTGACAACAATTCTCCCTTTCTTTCTTCAGATGGTAAAATAGCTGAAAGCAAACCAGGTAAGTTATTTTCTTTCATTTTCTTATACCGTTCATATTTAAAAATCAGTAGGGAGGCTGTGTTTATCTTTGGAGGAAATCCTGGAAAAATCCTTGAAATATTTAAAATGAACTGCCTTTTATTACTAATGAGCAAACAAACTTTAGTGTGTTTTTTATATAATCTGAACCAGACAGTTTGATATTTAATCCATATCTATACAGAAGATAAACTTAAAATGGAAATTGCCTAGTCAATTTACTTTGTAAAATATTTTAAAACATTTTATACATATAAACATAATATTAATCTGAGAGAAATGTTTATATTTAAGATTTGACTTTGTGTTATTTATAATGGAACATGCTTTTATTTTGTATTCTAGAATTAATTCATTACTGATCTATTTTAATTAAAATAGTCCCAGCAGTTGTTTAAGAAATTCCCTCAGGTAATTGGATATCATAGAATATTATATATAATATATATGTTGTTGTTGTTAAGTGCCGTCGAGTCGATTCCGATCCTTAGCGACCCTGTGCAGGGTTTCCGAGGCTGTAAATCTTGATGGGAACAGAAAGACTCATCTGACTCTCGCAAAGCGGCTGGTAGTTTCGAACTGCTGACCTTAAAGTTCGCAGCCCGATTGGTAACCACTACGCTACCAGAGTTATATATGTTATATGCCTGCATGCCTAAGTCACATCTATGACTTCTGCAACCAGCCACCATCTGATTTTTCCTCAGACAAGGGAACTTCATCCTTGCAATATGGTCCAACCTCGAGAAGATAGTCCTGAGAAAACCACCCATACAAACCCAGATAGCGGATTTGGGGCTTTAGGGTCCTGAGGACTTAGAACATGGTTTAGAATGGGGAGGGAGAGTGTTGCATCCCAGACTCTAGGTAAGCAGGACCTGTTGATCATCTGTTTGTATACTTTGTCCTTGCAGGAAGGCTATATAGTCTAAGGAAGGTAAGAGAGGCTATGTGACTGAGAGCAGAAATCCCTCTTGCATTTTCCCTAAGAGAGGTGCAGTCCAAGAACATTTTGAGTGCAATTGGGCAAGCCAAATGGGTTTGACTCAAAAGCCCATGTTCTTCTATGGATCATAGCCTTACTACTTGGAAATCCTATACAGTGTCGTAAAGAGTTGAAACTGACTCGACATCACCTAATAACAACAAAGCTATTTAAATATTAAAGTGCAGTTCTAAAACATTATAGTGAATGATAGAATAAAAATAAGAGAAAGAGTGTGTAAGATGCAAAGAGTTGTTGTTGTGTATCATCGAATCAATTCTAACTCATAGCAACTTTGTATAAAATTTCCAAGGGTTTGTAACACAGACCTTTTGGTTTGTAGTCCAGTGTTGATCCTACAGCGCCAAGGAGAGACAGAGAAAAAGAAAAACGAGAAAATGTATATAGAGAAAAGTAGAATAATAATGGTTGGAGGGCTGCTTTAAACAACTATAATCAAATTGGCTATGTTGTTGAGTGCTGGAGTTGGTTCCGATCCATAGAGACCTTTATAGGTTTTCTAAGGAGCAGATGGTCAGCTTGAACCACAGACTTTGCATTTTCAATCTACCTTGCAGTCCGGTGCATTAACCCACAGCGCCACACTAGGACTTGCCTGATCTAAACACTTTAGTCCTGGTGTGGCGCTGTGGGTTAATGTGCCAGATTGCAAAATCGTTTGAACTGCAAGGTTGGCGGTTCAAGCTCTCCAGCAGCTCCTTGGAAACCCTATACAGGATCACTATGGGTCGTAATTGACTTGACGGCACCTAACAAAAACAACTTTGGGAGGTCTTTACACAATCAACTGCAATCTTGACTATTTAAAAAACACATTAATATTTTCTTTCTCTTTATATAGAATATATGCATATATTTGCTAGACACATAAAAACTTCAATTCATGTACCTCATTTTCTTATCTATTCAATAAATAAAGTGCATATTTTCTATAATCTTTTATGGGTACCATAGTTTTAAGGAAGTTATTCTAATGTGCTTTAATTTTATAAGGTAGTTTCTAAAACTATGTCAGTGATATGACAGCAAGCATCATATATTTTACGAAATATAATATAGACTACCTAAAGGAGAAGTCTTTATTATCTAATGCTTTTATTAAATAAATATTGACTACCTTCTATGCTCTAGGCACTGTTCAAGATACTTGGAGTACCTCAGTGAATAAAATAGGCAAAAACAATAAAAACAAAACAAAATCCTTTCATCTAAAATGAAGTATAAAGTCTAGAAAGAGACCATTAAGTTGTGAACATTATAAGCAGAAACATGGCATATTAGAAGTTGATAGAGTCTATGGAATAATAGAGTAATATAATGGTAATTAAGAATAATAAGATGGGAGTGCAGTTGTAGTTTTAAATAGAGTAGGCCTATTTAAAGGCCTAAAAGACCTAGTTAAATGCCTAAAATGAGATTGCTTTTAAGCTAATTCTTGAAGAAAGTGAATGCTACAAGTACTTTAAACGCTTTTATTTTTTTCTTCTTCACAGAAAGACAGAGAAGAGAAGCAGGTATGTTATTATAGTTTTATCCACTAATGAGGTCCATTAGGCAAAACCAGCGTGGTCTGAATATTCCGATTATTCTTAAAGCAAAAAGTGGAACACTAGAATTTGGGGTTTAGTAATGGAGAAATAAACAGGCAAGGATGTATCTGCCTTATCCCTGTAACGCCTTTCTAGTACACATTATTTATTAAATCTTCACAGCTGTATTCTTCTCTCTTCCTTGAGGTCTTAGAACCATCAAAAAAAAAAGAGAGATAAGAATGGTGAATAAGTCAATCCATAGTAAATGTTCCAAATGTTGCCAGCATGATGGCACTTACCTAAAATCAGACTTTTTGTAGTGTCACTTTCAGATGACTTTTATAACCTGTGTTAATAATATTGTTTTCAAATAATATCTTCTGCTCTTCGCAGTAGGTAACGCTTTGTTAAATAGTTCATCCTTTGGTGATTCAAACAGAAGACTCTTTAACGGTGGATTTAGTGTTCCAAGAGAACACCAAGAGACAGATACCTTAGAGTTAGAAGACATCCCACCAGGTCCTGTTAGAGAAGAGATGATTGCTTGGGAAGCAAGCACGTTTTTCCATTTGGGATACTCTGGTTTTAATCACAGAAAATGGCCTTCATAATGCCAGTGGCAAATCTATAGTCACCAGTTCCAGTGTCTGTGAGAGTGATTGTCTTTAGAGAAAATTGTGAAAGATGTACAAAAAAAAAATGTACCATTTTTTCTGGCAATTATTTTCTATGCTGTCTTTCTGTTGCTATTATGATCACTCATTCATAAAGCAGTTTTTCATGGTGTTGTTGTTAGGTGCCATCAAGTCAGTACTGACTCATAGTAACCAGGTGCATAACAGAATGAAACACTTCCTGGTCGTGTGACATCCTCAAAACTGTTGTTATACTCAAGTCCATTGCTGCATTGCTGCTGCCACTGTGTCGTTCTATCTTGTTGAGGGTCTTCCTCTTTTTCATTGGCCTCCAATTTACTAAGCATGGTGTCCTTCTCCAGGGACTGGTCCCTCCTGATAATATGTCTGAAGTATAAGAGACGAGGTCTAACCATCCTGCCTTCTAAGGAGCATTCTGGCCATACTTCTTTCAACACAGATTTGCTGATTCTTTTAGCAGTTCGTGGTACTTCTAATATTTTCCTCCAACACCATAACTCAAATGCATCAATTTTTCTATAGTCTTCTTTATTCATTATCCAAATCTTGCATGCATATGAAACTATGCAAAATACCATGGTTTGTTTTCCATGGTATAAAGTATAATTTATATTATTTCCAGAACCCAAATTCACTGTACGTCTTTCTACTAATGTTTCTGTTTCCAAACACCACGTGTTTTCCACATCGGAGTTCTCTCTTTAAATTTCACAATTAAGTTGTTGAATAATATTATAAATCAGGGTTTCTCAACTATTTGTGAGTTGAAATTTTATTTCATTCTAAAAAATTGTTCTTAATTTGTTAGGTAGGATATTTCCTTTCTTGTTCAAAGCATTTCTTCCTTTTGGCCAATATAAACTTTTAGTTTGCCTTCCTGGTTCCTAAAATCTCCATAGTTAATACTTCTTAAAAAATAAACAAAAAAAAAGGACACCTAGAAAGAATAATCATATCAGTATTTCACATTAAAACTTCATATATGTGTCTATGTAGAAACAAATAAGAAGAGAGAAACAACTTTGGAAATAGGGGTTAGGCTGAACTATTTTCAATACAGTTACAATAATTCCTTGCCTGCCACCTGTTTTGTGTTTGATAAAATCACTATGACTAGCAAGTTAAGGCAGTTATATTTACTCTTGTTTAAATTCCAAAGTGTTTTCTTATATTTTTTAGAACACAGTTTAACTATAGCTTACGTGTCTTCAATGTTGCACTATTCGAATTTTTTCAGCCTTTGTAATAAATTTGTTGTTATGTAACTCATTATGGAATTGTGTATGAAAACATATATGGGGGGGATATATCCAAAACTATAATATAGGCCTAGTTCAAGCAATGTCCATAGACTAATTTCTTGCATTACATGAATTAATGAACCTTTTATTTGATAACAATTATATTTTTGTACAATAGATGAAATCACATCAGCAGTGGGTCTTAGTAATGTTTTCTCTGGCGGTAGGTAATTTGATGACATTGCTTTAACCCAAAATGAAATGAGTCATAGTCCTTCTGGTCACAATGCATTTGATGCTAATGTGGCAAGCAATAGATTAGCTGGCTCTGATTCTGCAGCCACGGAAACAAGTATTGCAAGTTATTCTTAGTTTTTGCTTTGGAAAAAAAAAAATTGATTAGTAAAGCAGGGTTGGTGTTTTTTTTTGTTTGTTTTTTTGTTTTTTTTTAACCAAAATAAAATTTAGTGTCAGAGGTACTCATGGAAAAAGTTTGTGCACTATTGGTTTATGTTCTTAAAGTATCTTTGTTTTCTTTAACATAACTCAGATATTTAAACATTTTAGTTAAGAGGCATATAGGTTTAACACTTTATTAAGGAAATCAGACTTGGAAATAATAGACCCCCCATATATCCTGTTAAAAATTCATTTACATTCTGCAGGTAGTACCAGTACAAGAATTAGGGGTAATATTGTGGGAGACTCATCTAGAAATTCAGGACTTGGTTTTGAAACATCTGGTGTAGAGCAGTTTGGAAGCAGTGGATCTAGAGAAAGTGGTGTGAGCAGCAGTGAATCTGATGCCAGAGGCTCAGGTAGTCTCCTTTTGGACTCTTGTTATGGAGAAAACAAAATTGATTCCCACCTTTCTTTTCTTGTTTAAATGCATCTTTTATTTCTTTGTTAGTGGGAAACTACTGGTCTTCTGGTGTTGAATATGGAGAAAGAAAGGATGAAGCTAACTTTTTTTTCTGGAGATTTTGGTTCAAAACGATTTGGTGACAATGGATTTAGTGAAAATGAAATAAAAGGTAGTAGAAACGGAGTTTTGATGGCTTAGGTGATGATATTTAGTATCTGTGCATGAAAAAGTTCTGAGTTTTAAATCTTCAAACTGTGCTCCATTAAAAATTATTTTGTGCTCTGCAGCTGGTACTAGTGAAAGGATTAGAGACAATTTTTGAGAGATTCATCTGAAAATTTGGGATTTGTTTTTGAACCATTTGGTACAAAGGGAGTTGGAAGCAGTGAACCTAGTGGAGGTGGTGTGGGCATCAGTGGATCTGAAGCCAGTGGCTCAGGTAGTCTCATTCTGGATTCTGTTCTAGTGACATCTGAAATGATTTACAATGTTCATTATTTTAATACCATTTTTATTTATCTGTTAGTGGACAATAGCTTGTCCTTTGGTTTCGGATATGGAGAAAGAAAGATGAAGCTATATTTGGCTCTAGTGAGTCTATTTCAAATCAAATTGGTGACAGTGGGCTTAATGAAAGTGGAATCAGAGGTAGGTACTAGAGAATCTAATTCTGGTGATTTCAGTGACTATGGTTAGTTTCTGTGCATGCAAAAGATCTGAGTCAGAAATTTAAAAAAATCCTGTTAAAATAAATCTATATTCTGCAGGTAGTACCAGTACAAGGACTAGGGGTAATACTATGGGAGACTCATCTGGAAATTCAGGACTTGGTTTTCAAACATCTGGTGTAGAGCGGTTTGGAAGCAGTAGATCTAGAGAAAGTGGTGTGAGCAGCAGTGGATCTTATGCCAAAGGCTCAGGTAGTCTCGTTCTGGATTCTGTTCTGGGGAAAACAAAATTGATTCCCACCTTTCTTCTCTTGTTTTAATACCTCTTTTATTTCTCTGATAGTGGAAAACCGCTGGTCTTCTGGTTTTGGATCTGGAAAACGAAAGGGTGAAGCTAACTTTGTTTCTGGAGATTTAGGTTCAAAGCAAATTGGTGATAATGGATTTAGTGAAAATGAAATAAAAGGTACTAGAGAATTAGATCTGATGGTTTAAGTGACCCTGTTTAGTATGTATGCATGGAAAAGTTTTGAGTCTTTAGTGTTTCAAAATGTGTTCTATTAAAAATCCTTTTATGCTCTGTGGGTGGTACCAGACAAAGGATTAGAGACAATTTTTAATAAAGTCATCTGGAAATTTGAGATTTATTTTTGGACCATGTAGTGTAATGGGAACTAGAAGCAGTGAATCTAGGGGAGGTGGTGTGGGCATCAGTGGATCTGAAGCTAGCAGCTCAGGTAGATTAATTCTGGATTCTGTTCTAGTGATATTCTGAAATGATGTTTGCATTTTTAATTTATTCTTTTAATGCCATTTTTATTTATCTGCTAGTGGGCAAGAGCTGGTCTTTTGGTACTGGATCAGGAGAAAGAAGGGGTGAAGCAAATCTTGTTTCTCACGATTCCAATTCAAACGAAATTGGTGACAATGGACTTAATGAAAGTGGAATCAAAGGTAATAGAGAACCTAATTCTGGTGATTTCA